ATGCATCTCAAACTTCTTTGCGGCCCCCTGCAAACTTCCCTCTCGAGGCTTGGATTAGAAAGTAGCAGTCACCCCAAAGGGTAATAAGTTCTATAGTTACGGAGTGATTCCCCAGCGTTGCCTTTGGAAAGCTCCATGCGCCAACTCATCTCACGCTCACTTAGGTATCTGACATGTATCCATGCTGGAACCCCAAAGCGTTTATTGAGCTTATCTTCACGCAACCCTCTAAATCTAACATGTTTGCTCTCCGAGCACACCGGCATAATCCTCATTAGGGACTTGCATGCTGAAGAGAGTGAAATAATTTCAGAAAAGCATGTGTGGAAGCCCCAAACACCAAAAGTTCATTCTTAGTGGTGAGTGGAGCCGCGGCCGGGTCAGCTGATTTGATCTTCTCCTTCCTCTCCTGTTGAAGGCTATTACTCGTGGAGGAACCCGGGAAGTGGCTCCTGGTTTGTGCAAGCCCTCTGCTCCATCCTGAACGAACATGGGAAGAGCCTGGAGATCTTGCAGATCCTCACCAGAGTGAACGGCAGGGTGGCCAGGCACTTCGAGTCTCAGTCCGATGACCCGCATTTCCATGAGAAGAAGCAGATCCCGTGTGTGGTCTCCATGCTCACCAAGGAACTCTACTTCTGCAAATAACCATTTCAGGGGTGCATAGTAGCCAAAAAACACTGCATCATTTATTGATGAATCAGTTTTGTTTTTTTTTTTAATGCTCTCGAAATATCCAGAAATTCTAAAGGATTTTAATTTCAGGAAAATTTATTGATTCAAGGGGAAAGAAATTCCTGGTGCTGTCTTATGTTCTATGAATCTTCAGAGACTTTTTTTTTTTTTTACAGTGTTATCTATTTGATAACTTTGTAATTTTCTCTTATGATTTTTTTTGTTCGTATTTTTTTCTTCTCGTCACAGTACATACAACAAAAATGACCTCTGCAGATGACCCGTGGCTGTGTCCACTGTGATTGGTGGCGATGTTGGTAGACAGTCAGTCACATTCGTACCTGGCAAAGAGAGTCCTAATGCTTGACAAAACACAACCAAGGGGGTAGTCATTCTCTTCTGTTGCAGAAAATGGGTATAAAGTATGGTTTGAGGGATTTTTCAGTGGCTTAGGGCAGATTCTCATGCCGTAATTCCAGATAAGTTAGAGGGGAAAATAATTTAACAATTTTAATATGTATCAGTCAGGATCCAGTCAAGAAAACAGAAACCATTCTAAGTATTTCAATAGAGGGAATTTAATAGAGGAAATTGACTCACATTAGGTGATAGGAGAGAAGCCAAAGCCAAATAAATGGAAACCGTTAACACCTAGGGCTGTGAGGAGGTGTGTGCGGTTCCCTGAGTTCAGAAGCTGCGGTCCTCCACGGTAGTTGGGACCATGGTGGGGGCTGCCTGGTGGGAGCTAGGACCACTGAGGAGTTAGAGAAAATGGAGCCGTGGCAGGGACAAAGCCACTGCCTGAGATGGGGTAACACTGACTCGGACATGGAGAGATACCCTGTCTTCACTTCTCCTTTTGCCCTCCAGTCTTCTTCCAGCACCTTACTCTTCCAGCCCTACCTGGAAGCCAGCTGACAAGGACGCTGAGAATTACAAGAGCAAAGCAAGAGAGAGCGAGGCAGGGAGGAACAAGATGATGTAAGCCTGCCCATAATGTGAACAGAAGTAATCATATTCCTTGATGTTCAGCATTCCCTCCATTCAGTCATTCATTTAGTTGTCAGATAATCTACGTATTGCCCACTGTGTGCAAAATAATCTGTTTTAGCTTTGAGGTATACCTGGAACTTTTTAGATTCCAAGCCTTATTCTAAGTAAATTTTGTATTACCTCTAATTCTCTAAGTGAGGGAAAGTTTATGGCAAAATTTTTTGCATAAAAAATGTTATCTTTTGAATTCTTGATAAATGACTATTTTAGGCTGCTTAAAAACTGGTTAACAAACAATTGTTCATATTTATTGATTAAAATCGATTGCCTAATTCCTAATCTGCTTAGTTTGCTTTCTTTCTGAAGTGTTTTATGGCAGTGGGAAATTAAAAAACAGGATAAGACTCGACCTCAACACAAAATATAATTAACATTTCTTTTGAAGCTAGAACACTAGCGAAACAAAATGTAATCACATAGGAAGCTGAAATTTCACATAAAGGGTTAATCGACTTACAAAACTGTGATGGGCTGCCATTTATCAGTTTGGCAGCAAAATCAGATGGTATAAAAGTATCTTTCGAAAGGAAAACGAATTTAGGTCCAGTTTATTAGACTTGTCCCTGGTTTCTTGCCATCTAAAATATACCAAATGTTCAAAATTTAAGTGACATTTATGAATCAAGAATCAACAAGCATCTCTAAGCAAGTTTCTGTAAGCCATCAAGCCTGTTAGGTTTATAAATTGCCCAAAATAGGCCTCAAAATAAAGTGCTAGGGTTCAGTGTATTTGTGTGGTTTACAACTTTAAGGGAACCAGGGCCTCTCTGTGAGAAAGAAAATGATATCCACTGACAGGTCACACACACTGATTGACAAGTCCTTTATTTGGTCCAGTCTTGCAGTGTGTCCCCTAAAATCTTTTGTCCAGCTACTCTAGCCACCAAAGATTGCCTTTTGAGTTCCCAGGAGCACACCATTCCGTCTCACTTTCATCTTTCAGGCCCTTTTCCAGCAGACATCTGGCCAGCAGTTCACCTGTGTCACGAGGCACAGGGAGGCACATAGCATTAGCCCAGGTGTCACTAATTTCTGAAGGAATGTGATTCTTAACATTTCTTCAAAGATATTCAGATCGAAGGGCTCTTTCATGCTGTTTGCCTTGTAAATATCTTGCAACACCAGGTGTGCACAGTGACAACAGCATCTCCTGGGAGCTTGACAGAAATGCAGACTCTCAGGTACCGCCCTCCCACCCCGCCCAGGACCTACTCAAGAATCTGCATGTTAACCAGATCCCCAGAGCGTCCATGTCCACGTTACACTTTGAGAAGCTCAGTCTGGAGGGCAAGAATCACTTGTTTATACATTTTTGTCTCCCCTCTGCACTGAACCTGGAGCTGATCAAGTTTATGCCTAGAAAGAATTAGCGAAAGAACATACATATTTTGGAGCTTTCACAGAAGACATATCTTGAAGCATCTCTTAACCTTGAGCAAATCCTCTTGTAAAACCACATGATGTCCTTCATACCCTCCATTTTAAATGAGCCTTCTGCTGAGTGATATAATAGGATTGTTTTTATGTTCTCAAAGCGTCTGAGAATGTGAATTGCAGCCTTTAAAATGTCTTCATAAACAGAACAGGATTAAGGGAGCCATTCTTTTCATGTTTGCATTGGCGGCAGGAGCAGTTATGCATTGAAGCCACAAAGTTTGTCTGTTTTCACCTATCTTTTGAGCCCAGTGGACACACAATTATTTTCTCTTCCTGCCAGTGGGCCCTCAGTCTATAGATCACCCTTTTGATAGACCTCAGGACTTTGTTTTGGATCAAATAGCAAGTAACTTTTTGATTCATAAATCATTAACACAAACACACCAAGAACACACTTGGAAGGCTCCAGCCACCACCACAGTACTGATGTGGCCAAGGAAACTCATTAGCTTGCAGCTTCAAGCATGAACAACCCACTAAAAGTACATGATCAACATTTGAAAACAAAAGCCAAATGTGATGAGTTGGCTTTGATGTCACTTTTGATTTACCCGGCACTATAAATATTTATGGTACTGCTATTTTCTAATAAATTTGTTTTAAGCATATGAAGCCAAACTATGCCAAAGGGTTTAAATTTGGAAGGCACATGGGATTATGGCTTCAGATATAGAAGCCTGGGCATTTCTTAAGCTTTGATGGTCTGAATCAAGTTGATGGCATGAGTTTGAGGAAAGATTTGGGAAAGAGAAGGAAGTATAAATGGTCTGATAGGTTTGGTCTAAACTGCTAGTTCCAGTTTAAGTTGTTTAAGGCGTACCTCAATCAGCACAGCCTCAAACTTTTATTTCAGGATCTAGAGATAGCAGAAGTGTTTTAACCATTAGTACTTAGAACTTTGGGTCTCCATTTGACCATTTAATACCATGCAAACCTTAGGTGATTCTTCAGTTTCCCCATCAACATATGAGGTTAGTAACATTGTGAAGTTTAATGAGATAATATATGTGCAGTGCTGAGCACAATACCCAGCATAAAATACTCAAAATGTAGGCATCAAAGATGATGATGATGATGATGATGATGATGATGATGATGATGACGATGACGATGACGATGACGATAACATGAAGCTTATGGAAAGGGCAAGAACAGAAGAAGCTTCACTGAGCCCCTCCACTCACTTTTTCTGCTTCAAGGACTGTTTATAGTCTATGCCTTTCAAAGCAAGGCCTCTCAGAAATGCAGGGATAACACCAAGGGTGGATGTATATACCTACTAAGTGCCAGGTGTCGTGTTGGCGTGGGGCTTAAAAGAGGACCAAGAAATGTTGCTGTTCCCAGAGGAGGTAAACACATTACTCTAGTACAATAGTGGCTGAAACGGAGTTATGTGTACATAGGTGAGGGGGGATCCCTCTGCTTGGAGGTTCAGAAAAGGATTCCCAGAGAAAATATTGAATCCTCTTCTATTTCAGCCTCCTGACAAGGCTGAGAGGAGGCAGCAGAGAAAAGGAAAGGAAGGTCAGTAGATAGAAGATGGTTCTTTTACTCTGGTGAAACTCAGGCTTGAGAGTGCCTGAGAATCCTGGAGGATCTTTTAAAGCAGATTCCTATGTCCCACCTCACCCTGTTGTAATTCAGTATTTCTGGGGCAAAGGCCAGTAATCTACACATTTAACAAACCTACCTGAAGATTCTGAGGTAGGTGGTCCTAAAACAACATGCTTTATACTGATATCAGGGGGCTCCCTTGCACATCAGCATGAGTGTGAGCTAAGTGTGAATTAATTAAACAGCTGGAAAAGATCACCAAAGGGCCAGCAATGCATTGGCTACTCACAGACCCCAAGTCTTAATCGGTTTGGGCTGCTATAACAAATTACCATGGACTAGATGGCTTAAACAACAAATGTTTATTTCTCACAGTCCTGGAGGCCGAGAAGTCCAAGATCGAGGTGTTGGTAGATTTGGTGTCTGGCAAGAGTCTGTGTCCTAAATCTTAGACTTCATTTTTTGTTGTGTCCTCACATGGCAGAAAGGATGAGGGAGCTCTCTGGGGTCTTTTTTTTCATAAGGGCACTAATCCTATTCAGGAGGGTTCCACCCTCATGACCTATTCATCTCCCAAAGGCCCCACTTCCTAATACCATTCCTTTGGGGATTAGGATTTCAACATGAATTTTGGGGGGGACATAAACACTCAGTCCATAATACTTGATTAGCCATCCTACCCCCAGTTTTAATGGCAAAGGATTCAAGGCACAAATGTGCTCAGAACTAGAGAAATTTTGCTCAGGAACTTCCAGAGTCTGAACAGGAGTGTCAAGCCCAGGGCAACTTTTGAGGAAGTCTGTGAAGTATTAGGGTGGAGAGGACCAGCAGACAGCTTGCCACGAATGGGTCCAGAGGCACTGGCTTCTTCTTCAGCTGGTGTCAGCAGGCACAGTACTTTCCTTTTCCTCTCTAATCACTAAGGCAATTGTTTCTAGACAAGAAGGGCCACGCATGTTTTTCTGCTCCTCTAATACCTTGTCGATAAAACAATGCAAAATGCTCCCTTTAACAATGTTACTGACATTTTTAAAGGAACCTTTCTCTACAAACACCTTTCATAATTAATATTAACTAGATTACTGTTATGTAGGGAAGGAAAAAATAATTCTCAAGTGAATGTTTTTTATACTCAAATATAGGACCAACTCAAAAGCTTAGGAAAATGAGCTTTCACAAATTATCTTTCCTGAAGCTTCCAGCTACATTAAGTGCTGACAGTTTTTTAAGCACTGAGATGAAAGAGACAAAGTCTTTTTCTTTTGTGTTGCTAATTGCAATTTTGCTTGGTATTAGAAGCCTACTTTTCTCTTGAGACGTTTGCCAGCACATATTAATTGCACAAATATTTACAGACTGCTAAAGCACAGGGGCAGCTTATACCAAAAAAGATATGGAACACTTGAAAAAAACCTTCTTTGACACATTATATTTCTGACCGGTTCTCCAGAATCAGCATAAACTATTTGCCCCTTAGCCTCAGCAAATGTGTTTAAAGAACATTGTCCCTGGGTCGATTTGGTGTTTATTTGACAGGCAATGGCTGCTGAAGTCTTTCTTCAAGAGCCTTGTGGGTGGCACTTCTTTTTTTTTTCAGGGTTAAAAATAATGTTTCCAAAAATACATATGCATCTTATGGATTGTTATATTGTCAACACTCTTAATCTTCTAGGCCACCTACATGGCATAGAAGAGGTTTATCCAATGGCCGTTCTAAATCCCAGGAGCTTCAGAAAGCCAACTCAAACAAGCTGGAGAACTTGAATAGCAAAGCCCCAAGGCTCTTAGCGCCATCTTGTTTCCCAGCATGCTAGTTAAGAACAAAGGCTCTGTAGTCAGACAGCCCCATTCAAATCCCAGCTTTGGGGCTTCCAACTTGTGGGATCTCGGAAAATCTCTCAAGCTCTCTAAACCTCTGTTTCTCCATCTCACAATGGAAAGAATCCTATTTAGGTTCCTAAGATATGGTACCTACCCCCAAGGGTCTTGTGAAAAATAAATGACATAATGAGTGCTGGCCCACTGAAAGTACCGAATAAGTGTTTGATTGTGTTTTTCGACCAGCCTGATCTAATAAATAATCCATGCCACCAAAAGGGGATTAGGACGGGATCAAAAAGGAAGTGCAAGAAGATTCTAATATACAGAAGAGGCTCTTTCTGAGGATAATGGCTACTCAAGTAATAGAGAAGAAGAACGTGGGCAGGAGCTGAAGCTGTCCGGTTACTGGGAGATCATAGGAAGGCAAGAGAATGACAGCTACAGGTCTAAGTTTTGAAAGAGGCGTA